CCCCCAGCCCCCGCAGGGACCGGGCGCTCCCGGTGCCGTTAATTCCCACGATCCCTCCGGGATCCTGCACCGTTCCCGGGGCGACAGCGGCCGTTATAGCCGGGGGGGCCACCAGTTCCACCAGCCCGGCTAGCTCAGTCGGTAGAGCATGAGACTCTTAATCTCAGGGTCGTGGGTTCGAGCCCCACGTTGGGCGCTAAAAGTTTTCTTTTTTTTTTCCCCCCCTTCGTGGGGTATAAAAATGCATTTTTTTTCCCCCCAAAAAAACCCACTCGTGAAAGCGGCTGAGCCCCGACTCTCCACTTTTTTTTTATGAAAAGCAAAGGGTTGGGTTTTGTGGAAGGAAAGAGAAGATCTGGGACCAGCGACGAGAAGCCGAGCTCTCCTTCCGTCGTTTTTCCTTTCCGTACGTTTCTCCCCTCATTTTCCTTTTATAGAAGTTTTCCATCCCAGTTCGCACCACACACGGAATGGGGACCCCATCCCTGCCCGTTTCTTACTCCCTTTTCGAAGCAGGACGGCAGCCTGAATTCCCCTCATCGCTATTTTTTTTCCTCTAAATTCATTTCCTTTTTTATTTGTCTTTTTTTTTTTCCTTTTTTTGCTTCATCTTCCCCTGCTTTTCGGAGGTTTATTTTTTTTTTAACTTGTCATTTTTTGCTCGCGTCCACGCACCAAGTCAACGCCCGAGGAACGGAAGAGCCGCAGCACCGTCGCAGCTACGCGGCTGATATAAAAAACTGCTATTCTGGAGAGACCCCAAAAAGCCTGAACTGAGCCCAAATCGTTACCACGCCTGCGAGAAACGGAAAAGGACGTTTTATTTTATTTTAGCCCTCGTTAAAAGGCATCGCTGCGATCTTACGGCTCACTCATCCATAGGTCCTGGTCCGTACCGTATATAATAACCACGGAAAACAAACTGGGGGTCGAAATTGTGGCCGCAGAGGAGGGGAAAAAAAAGGAGATGAGCATCTTCTAGCTGAATCAGAGGGGTTTGAATCATCTTGAATTAGTAGCAACAAGCCACGGGGTCAGGGAGGCGGCGGATGCGATGCCAGAAGTGGTGGAGGATGATGGGAAAGCTGCTGGAAAAAAGAGAGCGAGTTTGGTCATGGGAAAAAGGGGGAAGGAGGGAGATAACGGTGAATTTAGAGACCGGTCAGCGCAGCTTCGTTTCCTGCAACGTACTGGGAAAAAGCAGCTGAGCCGTTCTTCGGCCAAAAAACAACGGACGTGGCTTTGCGGTAAATTGAGTTCCTTCAGGGAAAAAAAAAAATTTAAATTTTAGATTTTAAATCTGGGTGGACCAGGGTTTTGAAACTAGGGGGGACCGTGGGTTGGCTGATAATTCAACGCTGAGCATCGAAACTCGGCGTTTCTCGCGGGTGCGAAGAGGGGTGGGATGTGCACGAGCCTGTCGTGACCCCGCTGTTAATTAATATTTCCCCCAAATTTTGGGTGAAGGCGCTGGGATCGTCGTGTTTGCGGGAGGGAGGCAGGGAGGGAGGAGGATGCTGAAGGTTGGGATGAAGATTTGCATCGGTGGGTATGAGGCAGTCATTTATTTGGTACCCGGGAATGCGGGTCCCACGCCGGAATGCGCAGTCAGGAGTATTTTCGGTGCAGGAAAAGCCAAAATCCTCCCCTGGGGTGGAGAAATGCCTGTGGAGAAGAGCCCAAGGATGTCTAAAAGACCATCTTGGCCAAAACCTTTTCAGGATGGGCCCGATCCTGGAGCCTCTACTTGGGGCAGAGAATGACCGTGGTGACCCCCCTCTTCCCTGAGCACACCCTGACTTATCTCACCGGGGACGTCCGAAGCACTTCTCTCTCTCTCTTTTTTTTTTTTTTTTTTTTTCCTCTGTTTTTTTTT